GGTTAGATGTTAGCACACTAGGTCCTAATGCATATGCAAGAATCATTTCACCTAGTGGCAATCAATAACCGCTTAGCCAAGGTTTTCCCCTCTGACTAGTATGGCTATCGATCCTAAACATACTCACACCCTCTATGGTGTCTTGAGTGCCAAAACAAAAACCTATTTGATACCTTTGCCTTGATCAACACTTGGTTTTTGTTTTTCTCTTTCTTCTTTTCCAAGTTGGAGCACTTGATCATCTCTTTTGGTCACCACCATCACCATGACCATCATCTAGCTCCATCACTTGGTGTGTACCACCCTATCTCACATACAATACTTAATGACAAGGGTTAGTACACTAGGTTTCATCAATTATCCAAAACCAAACTAGGGCTTTCACCTGCGATGGACGATCTCAATGTGAGGAGGGGCGGATCTGAGCAAAGAGAAGGCGATCAGATGGAATCTCGGCTGCAGCAGTGGTGCCCCTAGATCCAATGAGTTAAGCCTCATCCACTCTTGGCAAGACCAATGCGCGCGGATCTCATGAGATTCGCCTTCGACTCGTCTTCTTCACTCATCCTCTCTCTCTCTCTCTACAGTGCTTGGCGATGGCAAGGTATAGGGCTCGATGGTGGTGGCATGGCTAGGAGCGAGCTCGGCGCCATTGTGGCAGGCCTTGGAGTATGATGGGCTCACCATAGGGCTTTCATTTTTTATTTTTTTAATCTACTATAACCACCTCTGGAAATACTGACTAACAGTGATGCTAATCCAGAGGCGAGCAGGCTGTCCTCCTATGGAAATCTATATTTTTGCGGTTATGGCCATTTGTGAAAACCGTTAACATAGTAGTGGACCCCCCCCCAAGGGTCGCCCAACCCTCGACATCCCTCCACCGCCTTGCTCTGGTCATGCAAGGAATTACAACCATGGTTGATCACTTCCATTAATTTTATGGCGGTTTGATCCAAGGGATTACATGAGAAGCACTTGGATCCATGGGCCCACCTATATATGGGGGTACCCCTCACTTCTAAGACAAACTATTCAAGAAGAAGAGAAAAGTTCCACTATATTCTCAGTACTAGTAGGATAGTTTTGTGCAGGAGTTAGAGTAAGTGAGCTAGTCTTGGGTTTTCAGATTTTGTCTTTTGGAAAGTCTGGTATAACTCTTGTATCCTTTCTCTTTTTAATAAGACTTTCAGTTATCTTATTATATTTATATCTTCCCTACTTTGCCTTAGTGCTTTACTTTATTACAACATATTTGTTATGTTGTAGTGGTTATTAGTATAGTCATAGTTGTATGGTTCCTAAGATAGTTGTAGTATACCTTTGCACCCAATCACAGCCCATCTTACCTGGTGCCTCTAGTTGATCAGTGTGTGCACAGCTACAAGCAGTAAGATATAGTCAGTGTTTCCCTAAACGCTAAACGGTAAATAGTCGGACACCTACTGTTTAGCCATTATTTGGGCTAAATGGTCCATTAAATAGGTTAAGCGGACAATTAAACAGGGTAAATGGGTGATTAAACAGCAACGGCACACTACCGTGTAGTGTTTACATGGTATTTAAATGGGCTAAATGGTCGTTTAGCTGAACAGTGGATAAGTTTAGACGTTGTGTCTAGATTATACACTTACATGTATTTGTGTCTAATCCCACGGTTTGTTTGTGGCAGTCAGCAGGTGATAGCCCTATCTAATCTCTATATTCCACCATGTCCTGGCAAGTCATTAAAACGTAACCCCTCCACCGTTTCAGAGGTTTAGCACCTTTCTCATTCCTTTCTGTTCCTAAGCTTCATCTAGTTGTCCCCATGTGCAATTATATATGAACATTGTCCTTGCTTGAGATAACTTGTCTTGCTAAGTTAGAACCATATAAGTAGACAAAGATTTTAGGAAGCGTTATACTTACTCGTTGTCCTCCCACCTAGCTATACCTTACTAGTCATACTTTGAGTTATCTCTATCTTAGGTGTCCACATTACCTATTATAACTTACCCCCACTATACTTTGACAGCTTAATTGTGGTGTGATGAGAGTGTAACATAAGGATATGTTAAGGCCCCGGCAAAGAGGAAGCCGACCAATGGAGCACCCGACCGATCCCATGGATCGCTCGGTGGCTATACCCATCGGGTACGCTCGCGCGTACCCTCTGGAAGGAGGTAGGGTGAACCCGAGCGTGCCTGAAGCCACTGTCAAGGCTCAAGGGCTCAGCCATAGCCTTGGGCTACTGAACAATGGTGGCCCGAGCCTGACCTCCACCCAACGCCCGCCTAGGCTAGTGCCCGAGTGGCAACCGGCGTTCTGAGCCACAGGCCAGGATCTAGCTTAGGAACCCATCAGGCACCTAGAGCCTGACAGGTATGGAGATGCTTCACGGTCTACCTGTTCAACAGACGCGATGCCCTGTCGGCCACTCTCTTGGCAGTATCACACAACAGGAGTGACACATCAGGACAAGACCAAGGAAGGCTCGAGAAGGCTCATCCAGGGGAGGCCGTATAGCAGCAGGCAGCCCCAGACGGTCAAGTGCCAGAATAGAGGCAGTGGTGTCAAGGAGTAGTTGCAGCACTATCAGCTGCCCCCTACACAACAAGGCGACGTCCAACAATGCCACAGCAGAGGACGCATACACCCGACGTATAGACCATAGACTAGAATAGAACTGACTTGTACACCATACCTTCCTTAGAATATAAGGGGAGGCATAGCTCCCTTGAGAAGAGGGATCAAACCCAACAACGTTAAAGGGGATTAGACCCAAATTAGTTAGAGGGGATCGGACCCAACTTAGTTAGGAGGAGGAGATCTGATTCGACCCAACTCAGAGGGACCGAAGAACACCGACGAACTCTAGGATAGCACCGAGCGATCTCCTATCAATCTCTCTTGATTTCCACCATTGTAACCCCCCGATTGGGCATTCCTAACACAAACATCACTATATTGGTGGATGTAGGGCTCAGAAGCCCAAACCAGGATAAATCGATCTATGTCCCTTCCATGTTTTGAGTGTCCAAGCCACAAAAGACCCACACACCAACCTCAAACAAACAATTCCAATGCTTGTCACGGTTCCAAACCCACGACATGGTGTAACTAGGATATATCATTTATCAATACTCTTAGCCATCGCTTTCCCTATGGACAAAATATAATGGTACGTTGGAATAATGATGCGCTTGTAGAATTGTTCACTTGAGCATAAAAAATACCAGTAGTCCCCATCTATGTGATGATGAGTGAAATGGCAACTCCCTATCACTGCCGGGTTGAGCCATAACCCATCAGTGATATCACTGCCAGGTAAAGTATGCTGATATCCGGTATAGCCTTAACCTGGCAGTGATATCTTCCTATCACTACCATGTATGGGAACCAACAATGAAGGCAAGCCCATAACTATTGATTACCCTCTGTCGGGTTCGATTTTGGCAGTGATGTCAGGTTTTGACTCAGTAATTTCTCACGAATCTAGAGTAGTGCCCCATGCTATTTGTTTCGGTGGCAATTGTACAGGCAACACACTACTACAGATAAAGGATTTTAGAAGATAGGCCCCCAGTTAATAGAGGCGAACATTTTGTGGAGTTGCCACCATAAATGGTTAAGCAGGCTCTAGGCAAACGTCTGCCTTTGTGTTAATCATTTTCAGAGACAGACACTCTAAGGTGGTGCCTCTATTAATCGACTATTAAAAGAGGTGGCTGCCTCTGTTAGTCGATTAACACAAGCGGACTTCTTAAGATATCCATCTTTAAAAATGACTATTAATAGAGGTGGGTATTCTAAGGATGCGCATCTCTGAAATGACGTACTGTCGTGGGCGGCGGGCGGCCATGGCCCCTCTGCTGTGCTAACCGAGGGACCATTGCCTAAGTTTAGAACTAGGTCTGGCATGCCATGCCAGTGTCCGCGGTGTGGATCTGGAGTCCCCAAGCACGGTCGCATTGCCGGTGATCCAGGGCGTTGGCAGCAGCAGATGCTACATGGTGCTCAAATCTGCTCCTGATGGGGATGGATCTGTGTTCCATGTGGCATCATCGGTATGAGGGCATGTGCGATGGTGGTCATGGTCGACGTTTAGCCATGAACGTTGGGTCGTGCGGGTCACTGGAAGTGAGTTGGGTTCTAGGTGAAAGCCTTTTTTGCCTTTTTGTTGGGATCATGATGATGGAGCCTTTGGGCGCCATATTCCTCCTTGGAGGCGCCTGTCTAGGCATCCACCTCTTCTCTCGCCGTGGATCTTGCTTGTGAAAACCCATCCATTTTGGATGGGCAGCGGTGACGGGTCAACATTGTGTTCCTTCTTAAAGGCGTGTAGGTCCACGTTGTCGCCATAACCTACTTTGGTGGCTTTGTCCTGACATCAAGAGTTTCTAAGTAAACAAGAATGTGAAGGATTACTACTGCACAAGATCAAAATTTGAGGCCTGAGCCTGACATCAAGTGTTTCTAAGTAAACAAGATACGATGGATTGCTACTGTACAAGATTAAAGTAAGTTTGAAGCGAGAACGTAGAAGTTGGAAGCTTAATCTTTCTAGCTCTCGTAGTTTATTGCTCTTTGTTTTTTGCGTACCTCAATTTTATGGCTCGGAGTCTAAAGACTCTTGTAAACTTTGACTGTGTATATGCATGTGTGGATATAGAGGCAGATTTCTATCCATTATCTTAAAAAAACACTCTGTTTCTATTGACAAAGAAGAAAGATACAAGTAATTAGCTCTGGAAGACTATCAAACGAAAAGGAAAAAAATACAACGACAACGAGCACAACTAAACTCTACTGCCGGGCAGGCATACAACCAACACTCCCGCACCTTGCACTGCACAGCAAATAACGCAAACTCCACGAATCTATTCCATGCCCCTACTCACTCGATTTTTTACGAGCACACGATATATATAGCAAACAAACAAAGGAAGGAAAAGCGTAGTTGGTCATTCCTGGACTGGACACGATCAAAGAAACCCAACATCAGGTGGTGGCAGACATTATGCCGGCGCAGCAGTGACCACCACAGAGACCACCACATCGGGAGCACGAGGAGGCCGAGATGTCACGCGAGGAAGACCACCGTTGGTCGTCTCTGGTGTTTGCGGCTTCGGGGTGTCCTCTTCTCCTGCGGCTGCGGCAGCACTAGGTGGCGCTGCCGTAGTCGACAACCCCTCCTTGGTCTGGGTGCCGATGGGGAGCTCATTCTTCTTGTCACCTGCATCTGCCGGAGCTTCTTTGCCACGCCTGAAAACGCCGAAGCAGCTCCCCATCCGTACGTAATCCTGATCCCTGCTGGTTATTAGTAGTACTAGTAGTAGCTATGTTTTGGCTCCGAGTCCGAGCTAGGTTGTTAGAGTACTTTGTTCGATCAAGGCGCGCGCGTTATATATATATATAAGCCCGGCCGCACTTCATTCTGCGATGCTTCTTTGCAGACTGCATGCGACACGTTTCAGCAGCCGAGTGGCTCTGGGTCCGCCCTTGTAATAATATAAGATTATCAGCTCAAATGAGAGGGTGGGCATCTCCAATAAAGGGGTGAATCAGCTAGCTCAAGCATCTCCACATTAAATTTATTGTTAGCTGGAAGAGATAGAAAGTGATGACTGATGAGAGAGCATGAATACTACCTTTTCTTGAGAGGTTGGATGTAGCACCCAGTTTTGTGAAGCAAACCAAGCACTTGCCATATGTGTCTAGGACGTCCACACACCACATGTGGCAACAAAAACAATAAAATATATATAAAAAACCATGTTTTATTATATAACACAAATATTTAGTTACATTATTAAGTTTTACACAACATAGAAAAACCGATTCTTAAACTTCTCTTGGACCTCCATTCTCCACAAGGACAGTTGACTAGGGGAAACATATGCTTAGCACTCCTGGTGCTCCTCAGAAAACCCATGAGATCTGGTACTCATCTAGGATTTTGTTGAATTTAATTAAGCAAGTGTGAGCTCAACATACTCAACAAGTACAACATAAGTTTATGCAAAGCTCAAAAGGATAAACATGGTTATACTACGGTGAGCACTTTTAGGAAGGATAGACATAGTTATACTACGTTAAACACTTTTAATTGGTCAAGTTTTATCTATTGCCACCTCGGTAACTAAGTTATGCTTAAGCCACGAAGTATGAGTAATTAGAGATCGCAACAAATTCATCCCATAGGCCAAAACCATCCATGGTAACAATCTAGCTTGGAAAGGATCTAGCCCCCTCATGACCGAAAGCACGGTTGATATATCAATTTTAAATAAGAATATGTATACTCATGACTCATGATTCCCATATGCTAGGGTCTATAACTCTCATATCATACTTACCAAGAATGTGTTGCAGGATTTCCCTACGAGCTTTTCCAGAGTCCCCCTAACAAGTTAGTAGTCACGAGGTTTTGGATTTACCCAGCAGTTATATAATATAGGAAACCCCTATCACTATGGCACACGCCATCTCAGAAGCGCACACAACAACAGAGGATGTCCTATACCCATTAAGGCACCCCTCCCCCTCTTGCACCTTTGGGTAACCACTAACAAGCTAGAGAAGTTCAAAGTACTAAGACAAGACCATAGCCATGTAGTCCTCATGGTTGTAGTGGATTAAGGAGTTAGGGGGAGCCTTAAGTCCATAATGTCACCTAAAGGGGACATTTCAATCGGCAAGAGCAAGGTAAGGCATTCAATTTGGTAAAACGCATCATCCTTTTCCTTCAATTGGTATCTTGCTCTTGCATCGCATTCAAGCAAGTAGATAGGTTTTAATCTTGGTATTTGTATTTACTTGCTTTCGTTGTGTTGTCATCAATCACCAAAAAGGAAGATTCTAAGAAAAATTACACATATGCTAGGGCCATAGTTGATTTTGGTGGTTGCTTGGCATCATTATCAAATGGACTAATATGGTTTGCTACTACATAAGATTTAGTTCATTTGGATAGAAGGATGGATTGGACTTAGGTGACGTGAAGATCAAGTGAACAACACCTTAAGGAAGATCATACAAGTCATGCTAGAAGTCCAAGACATCAAATGGAAGAAGCTTGGATGAGAAGACGTCAAGAAACAAAGTTATTTGAGCATTGCTAGTATGCACCGGAATTGTCCAGTGTATGCCTATGAAGTGCACTGGATAGAGTGGCATCAGGTTGGGTTTGCATAGGGTTGTGGCCAATGCAAGGAGCATTGGAGAAAGAGGTGAAGTGAAGATGTTTCTATCGAGAAGATTTCCACTCACCGAGAAAACTTGGGTGGTACCAGGAAGCAAGCACCAGAGAAAGTGCTCACCCAAGGCTATGCAGAAAGGTGTTCTAGGTGCCACTAGAATTGTCCAATGATCACCGAAGAAAGGAGCCTAGCCAATGGTCGATTTCAAACAGCTAGTCCATGTGGATGTCATCCAAAAACTCTGATGGGGTCATCGGAAGTTCCGGTGCCCCTGTAGAAAGCTGGAGACTTGTCCAACGGCTAGTTTCTTGTGGGGAGGCTACAAATACCCCCCTCCCTCAAACTAGCCATTTGGGAGGAGTAGGAGCTGAGGATGATACCAAGGAAGTTGAAGCTCATCTTTTGTGCTCTTGGCACCATATGTTCTTAAGGAAATATTTGGTGACATGTGAAAGTGAATTTGCCCCCTATGTGGGTTTTGGTGTATTGATGACATCCAAATTAGGGACTAATGTGATCTTAATGAGATATGTCACAGCAATTAGTCCCATGAAAGATTTAAAGAGTTGATAAAGATGAAATTGTGTTCCTCAATTCTTAAAGTTGAAAAAGGTGTCAAAATCAAAGCGGATCTTCAAGTTTACATTTTATGCTTTTGAGTTTAGGTATGTCGTACTATAAAGAGGGATGCAAACTTAATTGGTCTGAGGAAGATATAGTGCTCAAGTATAAAATTAAAATCAAAAGAGAGACACTCTAGCACTTCACGAGCACATAGAATAGTTTTCGGTGACTTTTGGTGTCGGAAGTTCCAACGTAAGCCAGAACTTCCGACCGTCGAAAGCCATGACTCACGCCGGAAGTCCTGACGCCCAGTCACTTAGCCTACACGGTGACTGCAGCCATCGGAAGTCTCGACGTGAGTCAAAACTCCCGACAGTCGAAAGTCCCGACCCAAGTCGCTGTCAGGAGTCCCGACACTTGGACTTAGCTAGCTGGCTGACTGCGCCTATCAGAAGTCCCGGCGTACGTCGGGAGTCCCGACCATCAGAAGTCTTGACTCAGGTCTGGAGTCTCGACACCTGGCCACCTAGTTGCCCTACAGACCGTGCATGTTGAAAGTCCCGACGTACGTCGGGAGTTCCGACGTTGACGTGTTTGTAATGTCTTTGACCTTGCATGAATAGTATTTTCTTTATAGGTCGAAAGTCCTGAGATCTACGTCGAAACTTCCAACGTAGATCTAAACGGTTGGATTTCTACCTTGAGTATAAATAGCAATATCCTCTCTTCTAACTATTACTCATTCATTGCAACCTACTCACGGCCAAAATAGCTCTCAAGCATTCAAGACTCCCCTCTCCTCTCCCCTTTGCTCCAATCTTCGATCCCTCTAGGGTTTTGAGTGAAAGGAGAGTGGATTGAGTTAGAGCATCACTTTGTCAAGGTTGAGCACTCGATTTCTTCGTCAAGCCGGTTGGATTTGCATCTATTACTCTTGGGGCTTTGCCCCTAGCTAGCTAGGCGTCGCCCAAGAGCTTCCATCTTGTGGAAGAGACTTGGGAAGTTTGTATTACCCTCGATTTCTTAGTGGAAACCTCGAGTGACCTTTGTGGTTTCTTTGAGAGAGGCAAGGAGGTGAAAGAGACTCTAACCTTTGTGGTCACCTCAACAACGAGGATGTAGGAGCTCCTTTTTGGGGTTGCCGAACATTGGGTCAAATCCTTGTGTCCCGTGTGCTTGTTGTTGAGACTTGTGCTATCACTTTTATTCTTGTGTGTCTCTTCCTCCCCAAAGATTTTCTTAGGGTTTGGACTCGATCTATGGCGTGGTGACCTTTTGGCATCAAAGGAGCAACTCCAACGCGTTACCTTTCCACTAGGAAGTGGGGTTGTAAGTTATCGAAGTCACAAAATTCATTTTAGCACTTATAGTGCATTTCCCGTAGGCATCGGGACTTCTGACAGTTTGCGCCAAAACTTCAGACGACGTCGGGAGTTTCGACCCAAACTGTCAGGACTTCCGACAGTTGCTGACAAGTGACTTTGAGTTTTGTGTAGAATTTTAGATACATCTATTCACCCCCCCCCCCTCTAGGCATTGTTTAGATCCTTTCAATTTGTATTAGAGCCAGTTTTCTTTTAGCGCTTCACTGTGTGACAAGAAACAATGTCAGAGTCTGACAAGACGCAAGCCGATGCCACCGAGATGGCCAAGAAGATAGCTGAAGAGTTGATGGCTGATCAAGTCAAGTTTTTACAAGATGAAATGAAGAAGATGCAAGATGAGATGAGCAAGATCAAGGAAGAATTAAGCAAGAAGGTTTATGATGCAATAAGTGGCAAGAATGATGCAACAAGTGACAAGAATGAAGCAAACAAAGATGTCGCTAGTGATGTTAGAGCCGGTGAGCATGCTCATGAAAAGGGAATATATTCAAACGTGAACTTCGACTATGGACAACTCATCAAAGGTTTGCCTCTACATACTCCTCATGTCAACATTGGCAAGCCACCTCACTTTGATGGAACAAGATACACCGATTGATCCTACAAGATGAAGATGCATCTTATTGCCGTAAGACTTTTGGGAAGTTGTGGATGTTGGTGTGATGACTCCTACCGATGAAGATAGAGAGATAACTCTAGAAAAAGTGCACAATCTCTATCAAAATGCACAAGCCGTAGCATTACTTGTGTTAAGCCTAGGTCCAGATGAGTTCAGAAAGGTGAATTGAATGGAAAGTGCAAAGCAAATTTAGGATACTTGGAAAGTGTCATTTTATGGAGATAAGAGTGTGAGAAAAGGCAACATTGAGTTACTTCATGGTGAATTGGAAAGATTTGTGTTCTTGCAAAATAAAACAACACAATCCATGTTTGATAGGCTCATGGCATTGGTCAACCGCATAAGAGCTCTTGGAAGCACCGAATGGGATGATAACAAGGTTGCTAGAAAGATGTTGAGAACTTATAGAGCCAAGAACAACATGCTAGAGTCCGTGATCATGGAAAGGCCCGGTTATGATGAGATGACACCCTAAGAAGTTCTTTCAAAGCTTAAGCATCATGAGTGTCTAGATGAAGATG